GCCTGAATTTCTATTCGGCTGCGTGAGTAATGCTTGAATTCCTACTCAACTATCAGTTGCTGCTTCAGTTTTTATCCTCAATTCCAAACTCATATTTCAAGTAATAGTGATAGGACGTATTCCAAGTCCATACGGGTTAGTATCCATCCTGCGCATTGGTACCGCGTAGCCATCAGGGATTCTGTTTTGAAGCCATTAAAGCACTGAAATCGAGACCTCTAATTTGTGTCTCCGACGGGCGCTGATAATCACCTAATACCACGTATATACCATGACTTTATCTGCCCCTCTTAGCTAGTAAAAAAGTCAAATAAAACAGTTCTTTATTCGTAACAAATATTACAATTTATTTTGTAACACGATTTATATTTTTAATACAAATAAATTGTTATTTTTCTATCTAAGGAAGGAACTCTACCATTAATTCTGATAATGGCTACAAAATATACTATATAATGGATAAAGAATGATACAAAAATACACAAATACACTTCTTATTTGTTGCATAACAAATTTGGATTGTCTAATTGGACTCCTGGACATTCCTGAGGCATATTGTGTGTCTAGAATACAATCTGACAACTAAGTTTTTTGTATTATATATATCCACTGGCTGCTGCTATATTTTCTTAATATTTATAATTTTTATTCGCATATATCGCATATTATCCGTAAGTGCAGAGGTTAGTATCCAAATTAAAACATGACATTAAACAAAGGTTGACGAACTGTTATCTCTCATTTTAATGTATAACGTATGTATAACAAAGTTTATAATATTATATTGAAATAATGAGACGTATTTTTGGGGTTAAGTCATTAAGAATCGATTTCCTTTAAAGCATCCCCGATACGTAATTTGAGGGATAGTTAAATCAAAGGTTAACAAAAAAAACTTTGTAAAACGCAGAGAATAATGAATTTTATTACGTAACACTTTAAGACAAGGCGCCGTGGCTTAAAGTGTGCGACGCGTATTACTCATCTACTTGCATCAAGCGATGTGACTACGGGTTTGCCGGTATTCGAATCCCGCAGGCAGGTGCAATATTTTCCGAAGAAATACGTGCTCGTCGAGTGTTTCCGAATGACTTCCACCATTAAGGAATAACANACGCAGAGAATAATGAATTTTATTACGTAACACTTTAAGACAAGGCGCCGTGGCTTAAAGTGTGCGACGCGTATTACTCATCTACTTGCATCAAGCGATGTGACTACGGGTTTGCCGGTATTCGAATCCCGCAGGCAGGTGCAATATTTTCCGAAGAAATACGTGCTCGTCGAGTGTTTCCGAATGACTTCCACCATTAAGGAATAACATCGTGTAATAAATAATCAAACCCGCAAAATTATAAATTGCGTAATTACTAGTGGTAGGTGCCTCTATTACCCCGCCTATTTCTGTCGTGAAGCAGTAATGCGTTTCGGCTTGAACGGTGGGGCAGCCGTTGTAACTATACTGAGACCTTAGAACCTATATCTCAAGGTGGGTGGCGCATTTGCGTTGTAAATGTCTATGGGCTGCAGTCACCACTTAACACCAGGTGGGCTGTGAGCTCGTCCACCCATCTAAGCAATAAAAAAATAAAGAAAAACATCGTGTATTAAAATGAAAGAAAAAAACAACCGATTTTTACATTTAGACAAAATAAAACAAATCACACAACTTCACTCCTCGCGTTCCCGCCAAAAAGTCCTCAACAGATTAGTAAACGGCTATAGTTATACTATTTGCGCTACATTGCTTGCAAGAATCATTAGTGAAGTTTAATTTCGAATACCTATTTTTAATTGGTCATGTGTGTTTATGATCACATCCTATCCGGTGTTGAGTGGTACTTATATTCACATTAAGTGAATCCCGCATGAGTTCACATTACTGCTTCGCGGTACAAATGGTCAAGAACGTGGAACCTGCCTGTACCGGCTTATAGCGCTCCTTTGCACTAAGACGTGAAGGTATAATTTTGGTTGACCTCATCGAGACGAGATGCAGCATAGGTACTTAATCATGAATTCTAAAATTATTTTTTATACTATAATATACCTATTATTTACACATACAAATCCGTACATTGTAATAATAAAACTTAAAACTATAGAAGTATAGGTATATCTAAAGTACACGTGGACTACAGTGTGCTCAGTGAGAGTTTTTTAACGTTCTCGATAGCGTCAAAGTTAAGCCAATTTTGTATGCAGTTGGAACAGCGCCCCTCACAGCAAACGTAAGCAAACGATCCCATTCCATAGAAATATGAGCTAACTTTTACACTATCGATAAAAAAAAAAAACATGGAGGAGAGCAGCGACCGCCCCCAAGAACGGAGACGAAGAAAGAAGAAGAGAAGAAGATAAATAAGGAAGTCCTACCCACCACTACCTCAAGTCTGCAGTAGACCAGCCAGCAGTGCATCACCCCTGCCTCATTAGGTAGGGAGATTCAGCCCGGGCAGAGGGGTTTCCCCGAGGCCCGCTCCGTGCCCCCGCAAAGGGATACGACGACCCTCCGTCTCGTCGTCGCTCTCGGGAACGTAAAAAAACTCGCACTAAGCACACTGAAGCAGCACGAAATCTTACTTGATCTCAGCACAGATTTCTCATAGCAAATACATTCCATAAAAGTTCTCCCAATACGGCGTCATTTCTAACGAAACTTTTCGTCGAAATCTAATGAAAAGTGATTCTCAATCCCACGAAAGAAATCTCGCGGTATAGATGTAGCTAACTTTAACACAGACAACGCTATCAAGGCCTTGTAGTGACATCTTTCGCCCAATAGTAGAGATCAAAGGGGCACTTCGGATCCGATCAAAAACTGAATCACGCTAGCAATTATTTCAAGAAAGTTCATTAGATGTTATTGTAATCACAATTTTAGAAAGTTTATTACAAATACAAGTTTTATGCTAATTTTATCATGACGAGGACAGATAGAGAATTAGTAATGAAACTAATGGATGAAATATTTGTTTGTGAATTTTTCTTAAATTTAATTAAAAAAAATTATCCTTCTGTTAGCGCAGCATTGATATTTTATTTTGTCCACCAGCGTCAATGATCGATATTTCAAAACTATTAGTTTAGGATTTATGTAAAATATATTATATAATTTAAATGCATTTAAATAATTTTTACGATACCGTGACGTAGGCAATTGTTGAAAATGTATTTCAGTTTTTAATTTAACGCCATCTACCGTCACTATTGCGAACTAAGTTGTTGAATGTTAAACATTAACAATTGTCAAAATGACATCAACATCAAATCACGACTCTTCTCAAGCTTGTACCTACCTACCTACCTACCTACCTACTCATTAGTTTATCATTAGTAAAAATTCATATCAAGTCACTTACCAAAAACCAATGGCCTACGTCAATATTATGTAAGTACATACGAGGTGTTTATTTTAAATCTAAAGAACGCCTTCGACATTTCAGAGCAATTCTTACCTCAAGGCAAATCTTCGATAAGGCGCGATCTCTGGTTTTTATTTGTCCGATTTTAAGGACAACGGCGATTTTTAACTTTTTAAATTAATATTATAACTTTCTATGTTCGAAATTGAATGGAATGATATTTTTTCAGTTGCGGCTCATGTGCTACTTATATTTGACAGTGTTATTGCTTTATTGTGGAAGTCATTTACGACAAGTGTTAAGTACGTATGTGTTTCAAAAAATTGGCTACTGCTTGCGAGATTTGAACCCCGGACACTCGCATCGCTCGATAAGAATTATTTGCTGTTTGAACGTCTCTTGTTTTAGCCTTCAAACTGCTTATCTTTCCTTATTTTCTTTGTTCAATAGCCACTGACGAGATTTGTGATAATTACAAAAAGATTAGAAAAAAGTTTAAGAGGCATTTTCTCGTCTGTTCGTCAGCTGTTTGTTTTGTTTAGTATCTTGAGACTTTATTAAGAAAATATATAGTTTTGAAAATAGTCTTTTTTTTTATAACAAAANCTCTTGTTTTAGCCTTCAAACTGCTTATCTTTCCTTATTTTCTTTGTTCAATAGCCACTGACGAGATTTGTGATAATTACAAAAAGATTAGAAAAAAGTTTAAGAGGCATTTTCTCGTCTGTTCGTCAGCTGTTTGTTTTGTTTAGTATCTTGAGACTTTATTAAGAAAATATATAGTTTTGAAAATAGTCTTTTTTTTTATAACAAAAAAAAAAACAAAGATAAATTATTTTACTATCTGTTTTTCAATAAATTTATTATTTCTCATTTCTGGCATAAAAAAATGTAAGGTGACTATTATCTTTAATTTCATTATTACATTAAAATCGAAACTGTACGTACGTGTAAGCAATTATTCACAGCATTAGATTTTTTGGCGAACACTAGTACCTACATACATAGAAATAGTCACCCAGGCGATTGCTCGTCTAAATTTCAAAGAACGAATTTTATTTTCCTTATATTTATTTATTTCCATAACGATTAAGTCAGTGTAGGTCAAATTAAAATTCATAGAATCCAATTGTGTTGTACACAAAAATTTAAAATACAGTTTTATATACAACAATACTTTCAATGTTGCCTCATAAATCATACAGACCTAAAATAAACATGTTTTCTTTTCGCAGTCTTATTCACTTATCTATAATTATTACACTTGTACATTTAAATCATTAATCGTTTTCATTCCTATATAATTTACTATTGTATATTTGTAGGGAGTTTTTATCAGTGTTCAAGTTTCACTTACTCTTCGAAAATAACCTCACTTTTTAGTTTTAAGACAATGACTATGATTCCAATGCACTCGGGACTTGTTTACTGCACGCGTCAAGGAACTACAGAATGTGTAGTGGCTGGACCCACTACAAAGGCTTGCAAATATTCTGGGTCAATTTATCTGGGTAATTTACCATCCGGCTTTGGAATGAGCTCCTCTCCACGGTGTTTCCCGAGCGCTTTGACATGTCCTTCTTCAAATGAGGTTTGTGGAGAGTACTTAACGGTAGGCAGCGGCTTGGCTCTGCCCCTGGCATTGCTGACGTCCATGGGCGACGGTGACCACTCACCATCAGCCGTATGCTCGTCTGCCTACAAGGGCAATAAAAAAAAAATACTAGATAGGGAATGTATTATATAGGCGGTTCCGCTTTGATCATCGTACTATCTTCACTCTGGTCTGCATACATCGTCTGCGTGGCCCCCCTCTGCCCTGCTATCTCTTTTAACAGCACATCCTGTATCTTGCACCTGACGACCAGCTTCCTCACCGGCTCCAACTCCCTAAAATACGGAGCCAGAGACCTTAAGAACATCATGTCGTATTCGCTGTCCGTTTCGTTATAGTACGTCACAGTGTTGCGTTTTGAAGGATAATGTTCGTTGTGGTTGTGTTTGTTCTCTTCGTCGTCATCAGAACTTGATTCTTCGTGACGCTGTTCCACTTCAGTCTCTTCCGTCTGACTGTCCTCTCCGCTATTGCTTTCGCTAATCTTCGAAACCGCAGGATTATCTAAGAACCTCAAACAGTTGTAGTAGCGCCACGATTCTCGCTGGTTTTTTGCAATATTTGGTCTAGATTTTTTCACATAAACATCTTTCAGGTTTTTCCATTTCACTTGAATTAGTTTGTCTGGAATTTAAAAAAAAAACAGAATGTATGTACAAGGCCTAGTTCTAGTACACGGTATCTAGTAAACAGTTCAACTCCACGTTGCCCTCGGAGGGTGATTTGACTTAGAAAAGAGATCACATAATATTTAAACTTGGTCCCATTTGATTTCTGAATACCATTGTTTTGTTCACGCAGAGCTTTATAATAAACAAGCGGCCCGCTCCGGTTCCGCTCGGGTCTTTAACAAAAATTTGAAGTAATTTGAACGATATTTGACGTTGTTTTATTTTTTTAAATAAAAGAATACTTATTGCGGCACAACTATAATAGTAAGATATATGCTGTCGCGACACTTTTTGATAATAATAATGTGTTCTACAAAGTCGTAGTACATTTAGGTAATTTTTGTACATCTTGGGTTACATCATTGGAGTTTTAATAAGGTTTCCTAATTTTTTCAAAAAATATTATAGCCTATGTCACTCGGAAAAAGTGTAGCTTCCAAACAGTGAATGAATTTTTCAAATCGGTTCAGTAGTTTCTGAACCTATTCAATACAAAACAAACAAACAAACCTTTCCTCTTTATAATATTAGTATAGAAGTATAGATTAATAAAATAAGTAGAAAAACGATTTTGAACATTCAGCGGGCAATATGATACAATGATCTCTATCGCGCTGTTGCTTGCGGAGTTGTTAAATTGAAAACAGAAACATCGAACAGAGAAGATCACACTTCATCATCATCGTTCTGGCTCATTCGATCAACGTCACGGAACGAAGGGTCAAAAAGTTTGGGAATTTACTTTTGGAATACGGAAGACTAAACGTTTGACGGAGATCCTACATTTTCATACATCACCACGCGATCAAAAACGTCTGCAGTCTTTTGCCTTCATGGCGGAAACGTCGGTCTATCATTTTGGTCTCGATACTAAAGCATTTCATTAGAAACGATCATCTTCTCTGTCCATATGTGATTAAGAGAGCTTAAAAGATACCAGCTAATCTTGAGACATCAGTCGTTTTTTTCCCTACCTATTCGCTGTTAGTTTAAGAGGCTATTTCAGCTAGGCCTGGACGGGTAGGTGAGCTCACGGGCTCAACCTGAGAGAATTTGCTAACACTAGCCCTAGCAAGAGCAGTGCTTCGCAAAAACTACCACCGGATCGGAATCGCGACCCACTTAGAAGATCCGACGAGAAACTCAGTGTGTCTATGGGAATTAGTCGTATTGTACACCGGTTGTCTCATCATTTAGACTGAAACTCATAATTTATTTTTGGCAGCAATAGACAGAGCTAGGACGTGGCTGTCGCAAGTGAAATTTTATATTATAATTTTAAATTTTAAAGATGTATTTTATGTGCGAGGTCGTTTTGTTACAGCTAGTTAATTTACTTGTTTTACAAACTTTAAGACCAAATTCAGGAATTTTTCAATTAACAACAAATTAATGTAAGAATCAATGTATCTAATAATGATAGCTTTATTAAATTATTAAATCCCGTATTAATTTGTATAATTTGTTGTTATTATCAAAAACAACCTAACGCATTAATCAAATTATGACATACTTTAAATAGCAAAGCATAATAGGCATTTTCGATCATCTTACGGCATCTACCGGAAACCTTTTGAACTATAATGAATTGACTCACGATAAACACGGCACAAAATCGCCACGAGCACACAAATTCAAATCTTTCAAATCAGCACCTACGAGTATGCAACAAGTCAGGTAAAAAATGGTTGCATTTCATTCAAACCGAATTTCGGACAGCGCGAATAACATCTAGTTGTCTCTTTTTAGCACGCTTAAAACTTGCAAAGTTGCGATCCCCTTGTTTTAATATTATGTCATTTCCTCCGAGGCGGTGGCTATCAACAGCTGTTAACCACTACCGTCTACACGACGTTTCACTAACCTAACGTGTGAGGCAGTTGCATAGCGTCCAACACTTCAAGCCACTTCTTCTTCGTCCAAGCGCGTATCTTGTAGTCTTCATGCGTCCGATCCCAAAGGCAGGGACGTCTTTTGACTTCCTCAATCAATAACTCCATTTTTTCACTGGATAGGGTTAGGTTTCGGGCCATTTTATTTGTGCGCGGTGTACGCGGCAAACCGAGACGCGCTTAGCCGTAGTGACGCGCTGTCGCGACTGCCGACTGCCGCAGATAATGGCGGGCGTCCGCGGCTTGCCGCGTGCTCTCGGGGCGAGAGGGGCGCGACCGCGGCCACCGGTCGCGGCGCGATCGCACGCCGTTCTTCCCGCCGCGCTGTGTTATTTAAAATGCATACTCGTAAAGAATACTAAAATATTCTACGTCAGCGTTTTTTTTTGTAACGTCGTAATGAAATTGTACTACACACCGCATTGGCTCACTGAGTTTCTCGCTGGATCTTCTCAGTGGGTCGCGTTTCCGATCCGGTGATAGATTTTGCGAAGCACTGTTCCTGCTAGGGACAATGTTAGTAACACTTCCGGTTTGAGCCCCGTGAGCTCACCTACACGTTAGGGTGAAGCTGAAATAGCCTCTTAGGCTATCAGCTTATGTAGGAAAAAAAACCCAAAAAAAACAGCATTGCATTTCGTGATGTGTTTATTCTGTGGCTGTGGGCTGCGTCTGTAGGTTAGTTTTCAAGACGAACCCTTCGTCGCTTTACACGGGTTTGACGAGAACAGCGACCGGTGCTTGGAAAGCCTAAAAGCATCGTTATTGGATCGTCAGGATCCGAAATGACGGGCTTGGGGCGACGGTGACTGTACCATTCGGTCTAGAAGATTCGGTATGTAGTTTCCGGCGTCCAACGACCTCTACTGAACGCTTCGTTATACGAGATTAAATCATACGAGATGATTACATACGTTATTATACGAGATTAATATGGAGTGAAATGAACTAAAAATTATGCTTAAAAAAAACATCGTTAATAAAATGTTTTATTCTAAATTTAAGTAGATATATGGGTATGTATGGGATAGGTATGTATCTGAATCGCGGTTTTTACTATACTTTTGTTCAACCCGTACGACAGTGATACTCATCCGTGCGGGGTCACATTCGACCTACCAAATTATGTAAATTTATAAATCATGCTTATTTAATATTTAGCACATGACGATTGAGATTGTTGATGGATGATGTGATCACCAGTTGATGATTCACTGGTGGTAGGACCTCTTATGAGTCCGCACGGGTAGGTACCACCACCCCGCCTATTTCTGCCGTGGAGCAGTAATGCGTTTCGGCTTGAAGGGCGGGGCAGCCGTTGTAACTATACTGAGACCTTAGAACTTATATCTCAAGGTGGGTGGCGCATTTAGGTTGTAGATGTCTATGGGCTCCAGTAACCACTTATATAATAAAAAAAAAACAAAAAAAAGATACAATGCACACGTTGTTATTTCTTTATCGCGGAATTCGTGGAAGCTTATTAAGGCGACACTTACCACACAGCCTCACATAGGTAGATACTAATTAATAGACAAGGACGCTTTTTCTTTAAAAAATGGTACCTTCAATCTTAGGTCATTCAATCAAATGGTGCCTTTATGGACAAACCACGAACGATATCAACCCGCAAAACAGTTATTAATCCTTCTACGACTCATAATTTTTTTGTGAATAATCTTAAATCTTAGAATAGCTGATTAATTAAATCATAATATATTAGCTTCGATCAACAATAGTAACTAGATAAAGGGACACATACAAAATTAAAGCAAAAGCTGTCCGCGTGAATATACACATACATAGCTACATTCGTTTACTAACAAACGGAGAAAAAAGTTTTGAAACACTTTTACGTTCAAACTAATTACAACTATGGCACCTACTAATAAAGTCACAAATCTCCAAAACATTATCTAATACTTACGATCATTCGTCACATAAAATTAGCAAAGCAATAAATTACTCCTGTCATTTACCAATAAAAAGACATATGTTAAAGAACTTTTAATGTTAAATCAATCTTAACATCCAAGAAATAAAGTAACTTTTCCCTTAATTGCTCTGAGAACTAACAACGTTTTTATTTGTTTATTTTTGCTTCTTGAAATGCCGATTTCTGTTTACTACAGGAGGTAACGGAGTCGCGTTGAACACTAAAATAATTTATTAATGAATTAAAGTAAAAGTTTAGTTGTTTAATTTTTATGTTTTGGAAATGTATGTTTGTTAGTATCTATTCATTACTTATTATTTTATTAGCGTTACGTTTTTGTGTAATATATATTTTTATAGTATGTTTTTAAGTTTTCGCGACCAGTGCACATAATAAAACAACGTTTAAACGGTTTCAAGCGCGGTATTTTTATTACAATGTTTCGGCCACGTTTCAGTAGCCGTGAGCACGGAAGGCAAAGATGTCCAGTGTCAATAAGCGGAGATCTTAGCTGGCTTATAAAAGTCATCTCTTGTTTCTCTGGCGACAATCGAGATCCATTCTGCACACGTGATTGCTAGGAAAGCTAAAATAAAAATGGAAAGCTAAGTATCTAATGAGAGTCCAACAAACAGACACAAAAGCAGCATTAACCAATTTTAACCAACTAATTTTGAAGTGCTGCTAACAAATTTTAAAAAATTATTACAACACAAATCTACTCCATGCATTTACTGTTCTGTTAAGCAAAAGTTTGTCCATGTGTTGGCCGAGCCTTGGCCAACATTTGTAGCGGTGGTTAAAAATCGGTAATTTTGTTCAAAATTTAATATTATTTATAAGTTTAAAGCTTAAAATATAGTTTATACTTCATGTACTTACCGAAAGTAAGATACTCCGGCCGTTAAATTGCTTTTTCGGGCATTATTTTTGCAACTTTTGAATACACATTTCGGTATTGTGAGACGGGTTGACATTGGCTGTGTTTCAAGTGAACTAAACAAAATAACAGCTCACATTTCAAGTGAGCTGTTATTTGACGAGACGGATTTTCTGCACCGACCCGAAATCTAGTTCCTATTGTTGATCGAAGTATATTAGTTAAAATTTGTATTCGGTTAAGATTTGTTATTATTGAAAAAAGCGCCATCTAACTTTTATTTGAAAAATTACTGGAATATTATAGGTCGCAATACCAAAACAAGATGTCGCTATTAACCACCAATCAAATGATTTAACCGCCCATTTAAAAAAATCAGGTTTGATCGAATTCGATCGAAGTTATTTCTACGTCGCTTTCTTTAATTAGACTGTTGTATATTCGTATACGGGGTGAGCTGAGCTCCTAGCGCCTAACAGTAGATTTTCAGTCTCAAAAGTACACATTTCACCAGCTTCTTTCAAGATTGGAACATACCCGATGGACCGAATGGTAAAACAGTCGACGTCGCCCTAAGCACGTCATTACGGATCCTCCCGATCCATTAACGGTGCTTTTAGGTACCTCAAGCACCGGTCACCGTCCTCGCCGAACCCGTCGCTTGCGACGAAGGGCTCGACGAGTAAATTAACCAACCCATAGATATAGCCTAGGTACTGAATGTCTCGCCGGATCTTCTGTGGGTCGCGTTTCCGATCTGGTGATAGATTCTGCGAAGCACTGCTCTTGCTAGGGCCAGTGTTAGCAACACTGCCGGTTTGAGCGCCGTGAGCTCACCTACTAGCTCAGTGAATCTAGAATAACCCCCCGAGGTTACTAGAATAGACAGGATAAAAAAAAAGATTGGAAAATAATAAAAATTTCCACTAGTGTTCGCTCATTGAACGAAACTCGACCATAAAACCACTGAAAGCGCAAAATTTAAATTTATTTTAAGGATTACATTTTACCTTTTGTGTTGGACAGAAAACAATGCAAATAAATTGTAGTTTCTGTTTGTAGTTTTAAAATCACTTTTTTTTACTAAAAGCATACAAGGTATTTGTGGTATAATATAATATACCCAAAAATGATTGTATGTTTGTTTGTTCGTTCAGTCTAATCGGCTGAGCTGATTTTGAATTGGGACTTTGACTGGCACATAACCAGCTTGTGATATAAATAGCTTAGGAGTAATTATTCAGACATTAGAAAAGTAATCAAGGGTTCCGCGCAAAATAATTTAAACCCATGAAGTTGATAAGAAGACTCGCTCGAAATAGGGAGGTATGACCTTATTAAATAAAACGATAAGCTTGTTTACATTTTTATTTAGACACGGTATAAAATATATGTGATATAAAACAGCACAGTCGTAATTAAAATAAATAAAACATTCATATACAAATATAAGATACTAGAATTTTTTTCTTTTAAAATTAAAATAATTCAACGTTATTTTAGTTAAAAAGTGAATTATTAATTACATATCAGAACCTCTGATTTCGAACGCTCTTAAATGAAATAGATAAATACTAAGTATCTTTTTTTTTGGTAAAGTCAAAGCTGTTTTTGGATAAAGTACATAACAATATCTTAGGTTACAATATCGGTAAACTGACTCATTTAAAATCATAGAAATAAAAAAAAATTACATATCTCGGTTGATAGTTTTTGTATAATTATAATGCATCTTGCTGTGTCCAATTATGGTTTAACTGTGACAGTTTGTGTATTCGCAGACTGAGTTCTCGAGTTTAATCCAATCAGGCATATTTTAAAGAACATTTTGTGGATTTGTTTTGAATCGTAATTGTTTCTGACCTTTTTTTTGAATAAAATCATTGTCAAAATCAGATTTGACGATACCAAAAACAATTTTTTTGTGCATTAAATTTAATTAGAACATGTGACACGAATTAAATTCACTGTGATTTTTTAATTGATTATTTCAACAAAATATTCTTCATACATAATAATTTTTTTTGAATATATTTTTAATGTTTTTTGTTTTTTCACACAAATATTTTATTTAAGCATGATTATCACAGTGAACGTATCTTACAAAGGTTTTTTAATTAATTAAAATTAAATTTGACGTGTGCCTCAGGCTCCAAAAATTAGGTACACCGCATTTCGAACAACAAAACCGTGTCTACTAACAGTTTCCCTAATTTTTGTAGTCCAAGTTCCATAGATAAAGTAGTCTGAATTTTGTTTTTTTTTTCACAATAAATATACATTGACATTTAAATAGTAAATTCTAAACACTAATTACACATTACGATTAGTCGGCTTGACGGTAGCTACGTTAACTGTAAAACTTTTTACAACACAGCTATGAATTTAGTGCGCTTTT